GGGGGGGGGGGGGGGGGGGGGGGGGGGAGAGGGTTCGATGATCAGACTTCCCTTTCCGTCCCGTCCGTACTTGATCTTGTAGGCTCTTTTTCTGCAGTGATTCATCGATAGGATAAGGCGATTCCTGTAGGCAGGGAAGTGTCGTTTTTCTGGCCAGCTACTGCCTACACGTGTATTTCAACTAGAAACTAAAGTGCCACAATGAGCTCGAAAAAAAGGGTACGAGAGTTTCCTGAAGCTGTAGACGGCCCATTCCTTCAATGCGCCACTTTGATAAGCCTCTTGCAACTTTTGAGGAACACTCGAGGAGCTTGGAAATCAGTGGCCAAAGGCAAAAGTTTTATAAAGTGCAGTCCGTTGCTTCTATAAAACGGAGGTGCTGGTCTTTTCCTCTTGTTATCGTCCAAGACCAAACATTGGTAATCTGACCATTGTTGATGAGGTGGTTAACTGTTCCTCCACTGCACTGCACACTGGTGTCACTCTTGACAATTCTTTGTCAATGGTCCCCCGCATAACAGCGGTCTGTAAATCTGCTCTTTTTTTTAACTGCGTAACATTTCCAAGATCAGGGATTTCCTCAACACCGAAGCTACGAAAACCCTCGTACATACCTTTGTTACTCCAAAGGTTGATTATTGCAATTCCTTGCTGTATGGCCTTCCCGAATATTTATTGCAAAGGCTCCAAACTTTCGTCGCTTAAAGTTGGTCATTAACTAACCTGTGGGAAATAGGACTATAGGAAGAATTTTGAAGAGAAACTGTTGAGAAGTCGGTTCTTCATATTCCTGTGTATTTACGACAAAACTCCAACTGCCACTCATTTATGTAAAATAATCTATATACGCGGTTAAGTCCGCTGACCTAAGTCTTTGGCTATGTAAATCCACATAATAATTAATCTACAAATCGTAACGCTATTTCAACTATGACATATCTAAGACTGGTTTTCAACTGACTGTGAAAGTTTATTAAGCAGTCACTTTGTTTTCTTGAATGCATTTCAAGTTGTGCCTATTGGGGTCGGTTGCAAATTATCCTCAAAATAAGTTTTTTTAGATTCTACTTCGTATTGTGTCCTTTGGTAAATATCTTGCACTAGAATCCACAACTAGTGTATATTTTGATTTTGGTTTTACGATTCCCAGTCAATTGAAAAGCATTCCACCTTACCTCCAGTAGTATCCAGCAAAATAAAATCTCCTCCAGCATTGACACCAACTTACAAATGTGGCCGTGACTCAGGTAGTTTTTAGGTGTTGGTGCAGACTCG